TAAAGAAAATATCATAATTGCGAGGTGTGTGTCTGTGGAAAATTTTCATTCTCCATATCTTGCAGTTTGGAACTTGGATTTGTCTGCAATTGACAAATAAATTGTGCTGTCATTTCAGAACATTCTTGTTTATAGCATCTAAATCCTTTATTGTTAGCTCCATCTAGATTTTATAGTATGTAGCGACTAGGAATTTAATCCTCGACTTGTGGCTAAGAGCAGAGGCTACTCTACTACCAAACCACATGGTTGATGGTAGTGCTAGCTAGATTTTAAGTGTATAGAGAAGTTTGTTCAAATTTGAGAAATTTTAATGGTTATGTTTATATTGTGAAAGGTGTGCAAAGTCCTGAAGTATCATAATTTTTCTTGCGGGCTCAAATTCCATACTTTTAATTGACATGTAATTTCAGAAAAATAAAAAATAAAGGAACAAGGATGAATAGCAAGTCCCACCTTACTCCTTTATCATGGATCTATTATCTATTGCTTGGTAGCTTACTCTTTACCCTAATTATTACACATATAATATATCTTTTTTTTTGGGACAGATCCCAGATGAGTTGTGTTCACACAATTCTCTCCAATTTCTAGACCTTTCTCACAACAATCTCTTTGTAAGCTTGCCAATATGTACTGGTAACGTAAGTGTCTTGCTTAATGAGCAACCATTCTCAAGAGTTCAAATTTGGCTTCGTCTTTTCTATTGACGGTATTTTTCATGTAGCTTATCTTGAGAATGCATTTGTTTTGATAAAAAAAATCAGTTGCTTGAATATGACAAGATACTTCACTTGCTGAAAATCATGGATTTTTTCAGTAACCATTTATCAGGGAGATTCCCTTAGGAATAACTAATCTCCAAGGGTTGCAATCAATGAATTTATCACACAATCTTTGCACTAGAAGGATCCTAGAAAACATCAACATGAGAATGCTAGAATCAACTAATTTCTCAAGGAACAAATTGTTTGGTTCAATTCTAGAAAGCATGTCGAGTTTGCTGTTTTTGAGTTACTTGAACTTGTCCAATAACCAATTCAGTGGGTGAATTCTTCAAGTACTCAGTTGTAAAGTTTTCGATGCATCTAGCTATGTTGGAAACGAACTTTGCAGCCTTCCACTAGCAGATAACTGCAGTCTCAACGGAAATTCTATACCTAGCATCCAAAACAGAGGTGAAAAAGATGGAATGGAATTGAAATAAATTGATTGTTTGTGAGGATGACACTTGGATTTATTGTGGGATTTTGGAGTGTGCTAAGTCCTCTGGTGATTAGCAGGAGATGGTGATGCACATATTATCAATTTCTTGAGGAAATGTGGTGTAAAATCCTGTAAACAAACGTTTCTAAAGTTTAACGTGTTTCTTTTATAAATGTGTTAGTCTTGAATTATTAAGTATCATATCATTTCCTCTAAGTTGTATTGTGTAATAAAGTTTCCATTTCATCAGTGGAACATATATTGTCGATTTCCCTCATCAAAGTTAATTACTGATCTAGCATCAATTGCTTGCATGCATAAGCCTTTTTTCTTGTTGCTGCAACGAATCAAATTGAATAATTTTGCATGTTAAGAAGAGATTTCTTTTACAGATCCTTGGGGAAGACTGGCACACCATTCACTAATTTCATGGCCTCAAAACAGAAAAAAAAAAAAAAAAAAAAAAAAAGACCTTTGCATTCTACATGAACTATAGTCCGTAGAAGATGTTGGACAAAGGAATGGAGAAATTCATGTAGCTGTGTAGAATGGGGTATGGAAAAAGGCATGTTTAGGCCATATTGGAGCTGTTGGGGAAATTGATGGTAGGCGCCTATCCAATGGGTTATGGAAAAAGCATGTTTGGGTCACTTTCTGATCTGATGACAATGCATATTTATTATCTCATCTTCCTAGATGGTTTGAAGTAATATAATGTTCTTATATATCTTCTATATATTCTCCGCAATCAGTACTTAGAGCTGTAAAAATCTTAACTTCTAAATCAACTTTTTAAACATAATATTGAATATTAACTTTGTTGTTTACACTCTTATTTTTATTTATTTATTTATTTTTCAAATAACCGCATGAATCAAGTCTATTCTTGAAAAAATCATAGGCTTCCTCCCAGTCTGATCCTGTCCACCAGAAGGCTCTTAAGTGCCCATCATAGTCTAATTGTATAATATTAAAAGCTATTGATCTTTCATAATATTTTTTTCCTGGAAAGGAGAAAGTACCAAAATTATCCCACCCGAATTCAGCATAATAAAACTGCGTAGGGCGTGCACCTCAAAAAAATGAAGACATCCCCCATTCTACACGTACCGGATCAGGGTGGAATTGACAGCATGCCTATGAAATTGAAGAAAATTACGCAGGCACAAGTGTGTGGAATGGGGCATATGGAGAAAACATGTTTAGGTCCAATTCGAGTTGTTGAGGAAATTAATTATAAACGTGTACAATGGGTTGTGGAAATATATCGTAGCCACTTTGGACCTAGAAAATGAAGAAATCAACATGATGCTGACATTATGAAATGGCCGTGGGTAGAAAAAAGCATGTTTTGGGTCCCATCATCCGAACCGTTGGGAAAATTGATAGAAGGGGTATCCGAATGTGGCTTCCTCTTTTCTATTAACCACATTTTAGACGCAACTTATCTTGAGAATGCATTTGTTTCGATGAAAAGGTCAGTTGCTGCTTGAATATGGCAAGATAATTTACTCGGTAAAAATTATGAATTTTTCAAGTAACAGTTTATTAAGGACATTTCTTCAGAAATAATTAATCCCCAAGTGTTGCAATTAGTAAATTTATTACACTATCATTTCATTGGAAGGATCTTAGAAAATATCAATAACATGCATGAGATTGTTGAAATCAGATGATTTCTCAAGAAACAAATTATTATCTGGTTTTGGGTCATAGCCTTTCGAACTTGAAAATCTTGGACATTGGTTCAAACAAAATTTTGGGACATATCCCGAATGAGTTGTGTTCACTGAATTCTCTCCAAACTCTAGACCTTGCTCATTACAACCTCTTTGGAAGCTTGCCAAGGTGTATTGGTAACATAAGTGTCTTGCTTTTAACAAACAACCATTCTCAGGAGACCTACTCTAGCTACAACGGTTTTGGTGGCATCTTTTTTAGCCAGCAAGTACTTTATCTTGAGAATGCATTTGTTTTGATAAAAGGTCAGTTGCTTGAATATGATAGGACACTTCACTTGGTGAAAATCATGGATTTTTCTAACAACAATTTATCATCAGGGGAGATTCCTTCAGAAATAACTTATCTCCAAGGGTTGCAATCCCTGAATTTATCACACAATCTTTGCACTAGAAGGATCCCAAAAAACATTGGCAACATGAGAATGTTAGAATTAGTTTTCTCTACAAACAAATTGCCTGGTTCAATTCCGAGCAGTATGTCTAGTTTGACATTTTTGAGTTACTTGAACTTGTCCAATAACCAATTAACTCGTCAAATTCCTTCAAGTACTCAAATGCAGAGTTTCAATGCATCTATCTATTCTGGAAAGAGACTTTGTGGCCTTCCGCTACCAAATAAGTGCAGTGTAAATCGAAGTTCTGTATGTAACATTCAAAACAGAGGTGGAAAAAATGGGAATGGAGTTGAAATAGGTTGGTTGTTTGTGAGCGTAGCACTTGGATTTATTGTGGGATTTTGGAGGGTATCGAGTCCTCTAGTGATTAGCAAGCAATGGAGATGCATGTATTATCAATTTCTTGAGAAAATGTGGCAGAAAATCAGTGATTCTGTAAACAAATGTTTCTAAAGTTTAATGTATTTCTCTTATAAGTGTATTAGTCTTGAATTGTATAGTATCGTATCATTTCCTCTAAGTTGTGTTGTGTAATAACTAATAAGTACATACATATCATCAGTGGACTATATGTTCTAGTTTTCCCTTATAAAAGTTAGTTACTGATCTATTGCTTGCGGATGGTTTTTTCTGGTAACTGCAACAAATCAAATTGAATAATTTTGCAGGTCCAAAAGTGATTTCCATCATAGATCATCTTTGGTGAAGACCATATCACCATCCACTAATTTGACCAAATTAGAGTCAGTGGAAGATGTTGGACAAAATCTAATCTCCTCCTCTGCAATTAATTAACCGGTGCGTATTATTGCCATTTCCAAAACATAATCCATAAACTGTGTTTCTCTGTTCCGTTGGGACTTCCTTGTCGGCTTAATTTAATAAATCATTTATTAACTATTATTTATTTTTTGTTTTAGTCTAGATACTTTACTTTCTTTCAAACTCATCTATTAACTTCAAAAACTGTTTCATTTTCATCTACCTCACATAACTCCATTAGCTCTGTTAACGAAATTCCACACATGAGGTCATGTGCTGCCATGTAAGCAACCACATGATAGAAGCAAATTTCCAACAACAACGTTGTTTCTCTTTCATTTTTTTTTTCTATTGGCCACATGGTAGGAGCAAATTTTCGACAGCATTGTTTTTTCTTTAGGATTCAATTTCTATACTTAAATCTGCAACAGCTTAAGCTTCACTGTCGTCGGTGTTGTTTCGAACGGCGTCTTGTCGAACATCTGGACTCCTTTGACGAAGCTTTTTGTTGGTTTGTCAAATTCGTTCTGTAAAACGGCTTCGTACGAGTACTTCACTAGGGAGATGTAGTGGAACCATATCCAGTATAAGTGGATTCGGTTGCGGGAGATGATGAAGCCATTGAAGAGGACGAAGTAGGCGAGGATGGTGACTACTACGATGAATCCGAACATGATGTGGGAGACGACGCCGGAGTGGAATGTGACGAGGGAGCTCCCTGCCCAGAAGGAGGCGACGATGGTGAAGAAGAAGAAGAGGAACCCATGGAGGCCACTGGCGAGTCCCACGACTCCCACCATCCAAAAAGTTATGGCGGCGAAGAAGATGGAGAGGACGATTAAGGAAGGGATGGAAATTATGGAGTGGGCGAAGATGTACAATGATCGGCGGTAGGCATTATAATCAGTTTCTCGCATGAAGATGTAGCATTCTTGGATGGCTTTGGCGCAAGTGTAGAAGGTGGTGGACACGGCGAAGGCAAAGAACCCAATTCGTTGTTGAACCCCTTTGGGGGAATTGTCCACGTGCCAGAATATCGTTGCCAGGATGAATCTGGTGACCAAAACGACGCCTAATCGGATTCCAAACAGTTCAAGCATTCTTCTTGAGTTCGTTATCGATCTTTTGGCAATGACAATTGTTATACCCTAAAATAAGTCCTATGATAATTAGGACACGTGGAGGCATTCTAGAGATAGTCCTATCAAAAGTATAATAGGATAAATCCCATTAGAATAAGAATATCCCAAACACCAATAAAATAAAATTGTATTTCTAGAATAATTATATTTAAGCATTCTATAAATACCTCTAGGATCAACCTAAGGAGGTAGATTATTTTCCATCATTATTCTCTCTACATTGTAAACTCTCTCTATCAATAAAGATCTTGGTTCCACACCACCTACTCTATTTTTACTGTTAACATTTGGCGCCCACCGTGGGGCCGAGTTCTTTTTGATCCACGAATACCGCATGGAAAATCCAAAAAATTCATCGCCTCCTAGCAGAAGCACCCCAGGTTCCAGAAGCAAAGCCAGAATGAGCAACTCCTCTTCATCAAGCACGAATCCAAGAGATATTGTCAACAGAACCAAACCATCAGACTCAACAGTAGCATCACAAATACAGAAACTTACACAAGGCATGGAAGAAACAAGGCAAAGTTTAAAAGCAATCGAACGGGCCATAGCATCTATGACAAAAGCTACTAATACCTCGTCACAAGAAGCTAAGCGAGAACGTTTATCACGAAGTGACGCCAGGACACTTGAAGGAAAGGAGCAAGATTCAGCACAAGGAAACAGCAATCAAGATGAAAGCTACGTACCTTCAAGATCAACAGAGTGGACAGTTGACACGAGCTTACAACCATCCTCAGCTTTCACTCAGTACAATTTTCGAAGTAAAAACATGATACCTTGTACACATTCAAACCAAAGGAAGATTAGCCAACAAATCCAAGAAACCACACTCACGGCAGCAGGGCCACAAAAGACAGAAACGCAGATTCATGATGACGGCGTTTACAAAGAAATTGAGGTGCTGCGACAACATCTAGCAAAAATAGAAGCTGGCAGGCAGAAATATGCAGAACTAGTACACACAGCTTCAGTAGAAAAAGCCTTTATAGATGACATCATCAGGGAACCTGTGCCGTCAAACTTCAAAACTCCGCAGCTAGCTGAGTACGATGGAACCCAGGACCCAGTGGAGCACGTGCAAGGATATAGAATGGCAATGATGGTATATGGAGCCTCAAATGCTCTATTATGCAAGCAATTCCCAGCAACTTTCAGGAAAGCTGCGCAGGCTTGGTTCGCAACATTACCAGAAAAATCCATTCAGACCTTTGATCAATTTGCGAATATGTTCATCAATCATTTCACGGCCAGCAAAGCTCCTCGAAAGACCAACCATCATCTCTTAACAATTAAACAAAAAACAGGAGAGTCGTTAAGAGCCTACATAGCAAGATTTCACAACAAAGCTGTGCAAGTAGAAAGATTGGACCAAAGTGTGGCAATGCATGCTCTAATGGACGGACTTAAAGACTCAAGTTTCTATAGATCTCTAAACAAGCGGGAGCCCACCAGCCTTAATGATCTCATGAGAAGGGCGGAAGGATACATCAGAGCAGAAGAAAGGGCAGCGGTAAAATAAGCGCAGGAAACACCGAATTCAGAAGAAGGAAGAAAGCGGAAAATAGAAAAAGATATAGACAGTAGAGGTACTAAAGACAGAAAACAGACAAGATACAACTTGAGAGATAGACACTCCCAAACACAGAGAGAATTTGTGGGATATACAACACTCACACCTTTAAACACCAGCAGGACGGAGGTCTTCAACGTAGCAAAGAAAACAGAGAAGCTGCAATGGCCAGCTAGAATGGCAAGTAACCCAACTAGAAGAGATCAGACATGATTCTGCGCCTTTCATGGAGAACATGGACACGACACAGAGGAATGCAGACAACTGAAAATAGAAATCGAGAGGTTAATAAGACGAGGAGCACTCCGGCAATTCGTAAAAACAAACGACGGCAGCAGAAATAGGAAAGATCAGCACAAAAAGCCTGGAGAAAAAGAGAAAGAAGAAGAACAGCCACTAGAAGTTGTGGGGACCATTAACATCGTAAGCTTACCATCTGAAGTATGCAGCAAGGAAAAAACCCCCCAAGTAACACTGGAAGCAAAGAATTCTTTAAGAAAAAGTGAGGTAATCAGCTTCACAGAAAAAGACATGCAACAAAGGGAAGTATATCCTCATGAACCCTTGATGATACAAGTAATAGTTGAAGATAGAAACCTCCGGCAAGGAAAAATATTAAAAAGAATATTAGTAGACACAGGAAGTTGCAGAGACATACTTACGCATGAAGTTTTCAAAAAGCTGGGATTCTCAGCACAACTTATGAGACCCTGTGAAATCCCGTTAGTAGGATTGTCTGGAAAAGAGGTGCCAGTAGTGGGGATCATCACGATACCTATCCATGTTGGCGATACCGCTCAGAAAGCTGTGGTAACTTTGGACTTTTTTGTCGTAGACATACCATGCTCTTTTAACGCAATCTTAGGAAGACCAGGATTGAATGCATTACAAGCAATAATCTCTACAAGCCACATGATGATCAAATTTCCTACGCCAAAAGGTATTGGAGTAGCAAGAGGAAGGTCCGCAGAAATTCAGGAAACTGTCACAGCACAAGTATCTAAACAATCAGAAACTCGGAAACTGCGGCCTAAGTCCAGAGCCTGGGATTTAATCGCAACAGGGGATATCGGGAGAAGAAGAGCATTGACAGTAGATACAATGGATGCACGAGAAGGTATAAACGAACAACGAGCAGAGCCCATTGATCGCACTAAATCTGTGGCACTCACCTCAAAAAATCCAGACAAAACAACGAATGTGGGAGCAGACATGGACCCAGAATTTACCGCGAAACTAGAGGAATGTTTAAGAAGGAATGAAGGTATATTTGCGGGAAGTGCAGCTGACATGCCTGGAATAGATCCTAAGGTCGCATGCCATAGGCTCGGGGTACTCCCAGAAGCTGTGCCAATCAGACAAAAGATGAGACAATTCGGAGCTGAAAGGACCGCAGCTATAAAGGAAGAAATAGAGAAATTAAAAGAGGCAGGATTTATAAAAGAAATAAACTTCTGTGAGTGGCTATCCAACGTTGTCATGGTAAAAAAGCCAAATGGAAAATGGCGCATGTGCATTGATTTCACTGACCTTAATAAGGTGTGCCCCAAAGACAACTATGCGTTACCAGACATAGATGAGTTAGTGGACAATTCCTCTGGATATGAAGTACTCAGCTTTTGTGACGCTTATTCCGGATACAACCAAATCCCACTGGCAGAAGAGGATCAAGACAAAACAGCTTTCATTGCGGCAGGAGAAACATACTGTTACATAGTGATGCCATTTGGCCTAAAAAACGCAGGTGCAACATACCAGCGTTTCGCAAACAAAATCTTCGTGTTGCTGAAAGGAAAGTGCGTAGAGGTATATGTCGATGACCTGATAATAAAAAGCAGAAGTCTAGATCAGCATCTTGAAGACTTAGAGCAAGTTTTCAGCATACTACACGAATATGGCATGAAGTTAAACCCTCTAAAATGTACGTTTGGGGTAAGGGCTGGAAAATTTTTAGGCTTCATGCTGACTAACAGAGGAATTGAAGCAAATCCGGAAAAGGTGCGTGCAATAATAGAAATGAGACCCCCAGCTTCAATAAAAGAGGTGCAGCACCTTATGGGGAAAATTGTGGCATTGGGAAGATTTCTATCAAAGTCTGCAGAAAGGTGCTTACCCATCTTTAAAATCCTGCGAGGGAAGAAAAACTTTGAATGGACACGAGACTGCCAGAAAGCTTTTGAACAATTAAAAGCATACCTGGCATCTCCACCCTTGATTAGCAAGCCTAGCCCCGGAGAGACATTATTCCTATACATAGCAGCAACAATAGAAGCAGTTAGCGCAGCTTTAATTAGGAAAGAACAAAAAAGGCAAAGACCTGTGTACTTCGTAAGCAAAGTACTGCAAGAACCAGAAAAAAGGTACGCACCTTTGGAGAAACTAGCATATGCAGTAATCATAGCAGCCAGAAGACTGAGATATTACTTTCTGGGGCACAAGATTACAGTCCTCACCAATTATCCATTGAGACATGTATTGCACAAACCAGACTTAGCAAGAAGGCTGGTGAAATGGAGCATTGAGCTTACAAAATTTGATGTGGAATTCCAGCCACGAAAAGCTACAAAAGCTCAGATTTTGGCAGACTTCATAGTAGAACTGAGTAAGGAAGAAAAAGCTGCACTTGACACACCTTTACCAACACCCCCAGCAAAACGACAATCATCAGAAATAGAAGAAGAGCAAGCAAGGGTAATTCCACCAGGTCTTTGCTGGATCCTCCATGTGGATGGATCATCAAGTGAGAATGGGAGTGGCGCAGGAATCATACTGACATCACCAGAAGGAGAAACCTTTGAATATGCACTGAAGTTTACATTTGAGGCATCCAACAATAGAGCAGAGTACGAAGCTCTGCTGGGAGGACTTCGGTTAGCGAAAGCTGTGAACGCAGAATACATAAAAATATTTAGTGATTCATAGTCAGTAGTAAACCAAGTAAAAGGAGATTTTAACGCTCAGGAAACAGTAATGACAAAATACCTAGAAAAAGCTGCGCAACTCCTTAAACCGTTCAAAGGATATGAAATGCACCATATAAAAAGAACTGAAAATTCAAAAGCTGATGCGTTGGCCAGATTAGCAAGTTCAGGAGTCACAGAATCTGGAAAAGAGATATACGTTGAGGAACTGAGCTCCCCCTCAATATCTGAAGAAGAAATCTTGGAAATAGAAGAAGAAGAAGTAACCTGGATGAATCCAATCAGAAGATACCTCTCTAATGGAGATTTACCTGAAGACAAGAAAGAAGCACAGAAATTGAAAAGGAAAGCAGTGTGGTATACAATCCTTGATGACCATCTTTATTGAAGATCATACACACAGCCATGGCTCAGATGTCTGACACCCAAGGAGGCAAAAACCGTAATGGAAGAAATTCACGAAGGAGAATGTTCCAACCACATAGGAGCAGAATCGCTATCATACAAAATCCTCCGCCAAGGATATTTTTGGCCAACCATGAAGATGGATACAAGGGAATACGTCAAAAGATGTGACAAATGCCAAAGGTTCGCTCGAGTACAACACCAACCCGCAAATCCTCTGCATATGGTAACAGCTCCATGGCCTTTCGCAAAATGGGGAATGGACATCCTTGGGCCCTTCCCAGAAGCAAAAGGAAAAAGAAGTACCTTATAGTTGCAATAGACTACTTCACGAAATGGGTGGAAGTCGAGGCAGTGGCCAGAATAACAGAACAGAAAATAGAAGAGTTTGTAAAGATATGCATCATATGCAGGTTTGGAACACCAAAAATCCTGGTCACGGACAATGGGACCCAGTTCGCAAGTGAATCTTTCAAAGAATTCTGTCAAGCACAGAATCTGGAAAGATGATTCACAATTAAAGCTCAGCTAGAAAACGAAGGAAAAACACCAGAACAAATTGAGCAGAGATTTGCTTCAGTAGCTTACCCAGAATCAAACGGACAAGCAGAAGCTGCCAACAGAATCATATTGGATAGCCTGAGAAAGAAGGTAGGAAAGGCAAAGGGCGCATGGACAGAAGAACTACCGTACACATTGTGGGCCTACAGAACCACATACCGCACATCCACCGGTGAGACCCCATTCAATTTAACATACGGAACAGAAGCAGTGATTCCAGTAGAAACCAGAATTTCAACGCATAGAACCAGCCATTACAACGAACACAAAAACAGAGAGACCTTGAGAGCCAACCTGGATTTACTAGAAGAAGTTAGGGACTTATCGCAAATACGAATGGCAAGTTACCATAGAAAAGCAGAAAAATACTACAACCGCAAGGTAAAACCCAAAAACCTATGCAAAGGAGATTGGGTACTAAGAAAAGCAGAGGTCTCAGAAAGAAATCCCCGAGAAGGAAAGCTACGCTCAAGCTGGGAAGGACCATACCTCATCAAGGAAGATTTAGGCAACGGAGCCTTCAAGTTGATGCGCCCCAATGGAGCAATAATCCCACGGACCTGGAATGCTGCGCACCTTAAGAAATACTACCAGTAAGCAAAGGAAAGTAACCTTGTAAAGTACTCCCCATCAATATTGCGACTTTTATCTAAATAAAATGAGAAATTTAGCAAAATCCAAAAAAAAATAAAAATATGCTTAGACAAACAATAATGCTGCGAGCAAGTTTGGATGTACATAAATATCCAAGCAAAAGTTACGCAAGCAAAAAAGAAGCTGTGAGCAAGTTTGGGTGTACATTAAATACCC